TTGATGGCCGACAGGCTTCATCAGTAGCAGGCAGGGAAGAATCTCATCTGTAGCAGGCTGGAGAAGAAGCATGGCCGACAGTGCCTCATGAGAATCATGCTGAAAGGACCAACACATGGTCAAAAAATGGGGCAAAAAGGATATAGGGTTTAGAAAGCTCGAACCTGTGACGTTCCGCCGCGAAAGTCGAGTACTCGACGAGCAATCGAACTTGTGGTTGGATGTACCTGCAAGCACAACCAAGTCTTGAGGACGGTAAAAAATGGGGTGTCTACACACCTCAATCAACCTAATGCTGGCTTCGCCGCAACTAGAGGCAAGTAAGAAGTGTGATAGTAAGCATAAACAAAGGGCATGTTGCCGATAACCTCGCCAAAGGAGGTCACCTCTTTCTCTAATGACGGAAAACTGACAAATCAAACCTAGGATGTCCAACTCCCCATCATGAGCCAAGGATTAAGCCTCATGCAAAGTGAGCCCACACATACGCCCCAAAGCTTGGGCGTGGCTAAAACGGGGCTGAGGCATGATTTCTTCGTTGCACCGGGATTCCATCAATGCTTGAAATTCTTCGAGTGTCGGACACATTTCTTGTGATCCCAAGCGAAATACATGTGTGATCGGGTTCCAGCATCAAAATAGTGACACAGAGAAACGAAAAACAAAGCGAAGTACGGCTCAAAGGAAAAAGAGCGTTTAGGCTGAAACCACGAAAGTTCACCTTTTCCAAGCCGTCCAAAGTAGCTATCCAGTCTCAGAGCCTATTGTTGAGCAGCATCTCCATCTTGAGAGCAAAATACCAAAGATTTGCTATTCTACTAGAAAAATAGCATAGGAGCATCATTTATAGAGTTTGAGAAAAGGCAGTGCATGATAGCTGGATCCCACTAACCGATCTCATTTTTGGGCCCGACCGTGCCTATTTGGACCCGGTCGGGTCAAAATGTTGGCCTAAGCTAGGCAGGTGGCAGAAAAATCTTACTTTTGCTTTGGTGTACTACAGCTATATTTTGAGTCTTGTTTTGTTTGTATCAAGTGTTTTTTTAGCATTTTCGAGTTGTTTTCATTTCGTTTTCCTATTATCGAGTTGTATTTTACACTTTGTCTGGTTGTAGGTTGTTACCCGATTCAAGATTGAATGCAAGAACAAGTATTTACAGTTTTAAAGTCTTGTATGAAATTACCATGCAAAGGTTGTGCCATTCATCATATATTATGTAGAGAAATCATCCGAAATATTCTTTTCATTAACTAGTGGGTCCAACCCCGGTCATTGTTTTACAAAGGCCAAAAACAAAAGAAAAGTCTTCAAAAACAAAATACATAGGTCTATCTGAAGCTACATAGTTCCTAACTACAAAGCAAAAGAAAAAGCAAAGAAAATCAGCAACCCATCATCGCTCTCTTCATCCTCAGCTGCGGAGGAGGTGCATCACTGGGGCTGCTAGATTACATGTCGACCTCCTCCCCCTCCTCCTCCTCCGGGATCGTGTACTCATCAAAGGACTCTTCAGAGGGTGAGTGATGTCTCACTTTGGCCTCTCTCTCGATCAGCCTCTTCTCTACCTCTCACTACGCCCCGTCTCCATCTTCTAGCAGGAGGAGGTCCTGTAGGTGTAACTGGTGCTGGCTCAAACTGAAAAGGAGTATAGATATAAAAAAAAGACCAATAGAATTATGAGCGAGATTGTAATGACTGTAAACTAGGGGAAAAGTATACCTCGATCCCATGGGTGGCTAGAGCAGTCTGCCTTCTCTGTACCATCAGAAGTAGTCTGTCAACTATCCGGAGGAGGTCATCCACATACCCCCCAGGCACCTGGGTGGAAATAAAGAGAAGTGTGTACCTGCTCAACATCGGGAGCGATCACCAACATGCGATCCCCCTCTTCAATGTGCTTAATGGGGATCTGCCCAATCACCCCATCTGGTCGCATATATATAACCTCAGTAGGAATCACCGGAAGCCCAGGGATAGGAGCTGCAGCAGGAACCCCTCCAACTGTAGCAGCAGCAGCAACAACCTCAGGAACAACGCAAATCACCCGAGTTTGTAAGAAGGTAGTGAAGTCACCGGCCCCATAGTATCGGTCACAATCTTCTCCCTGCATGAGGTGATCGATCAAGGGCTCGTCCTGGAGGTCATCGGCTATCCTCATGCCTAGAAGAGGAGGATGTGGGACGTCAAGATCAGCTTGGCCTCGGGTCTGGCAAATGAATCGCTCCCCCAAATAGTACGCCTTGCCGAAAGGGCCCTCAAATAGGATCCGCATAGTGGAGGCCTCTCATGCAGCAGCGTAAGTCACCCTTGAAGTCGGAGGGATGCCTGCGAAAGGGTGCCAGTCAACTTGTGAATAGAAGATGCAAGGCAAGAATCAGGTATCCGGGGTTGAATAGCAATATGGAAACAACAATATGGAAATAATAGTAAAAGAATAAGACTAGAGATTTTGTTACCCTATTTGCGATGATGGTGTCAAAGAAAGGGTAAAAGTAAGGGAAGTCCTAGTCTACGAGACGACGTCTCTCGAATAGGGAGTTATAGTACCGAGAGCAGGGTACTGACAACTCAATCGGCCTCACTGGGATCGGAGCTAGAGAAGTGAAATATGTGTGAACCCATAGCTGCAAAAAGAGAAGGATAAGTGAAGTAGATGAGCAGATACAAACAGAAAATGCAAAGCATGTATTGTCTTGCTGAACTATCCATCAATAAATCAACTATAGGCATGGGGTACTCATCTTTTGGAGTTGCCAAATTCATGTTTCTAAAATCGATTCATACCCTCAGCTTGCCATTCTTTTTGACCACATGCACAATATTAGACAACCATTTAGCATACCTAGCTGTTTTAATGAAGCCTGCTTTAAGGAGCCTAACAATCTCCTCTTTCACTTTTTGAATTACTTTAGGGCTCATCCGTCTTGGTTTTAGCTTGTGTGGCTTAAAATTAGGCTTCATTGGGAGCCTATATTCCACTAATGACCTGTCCAACCCAGGCAACTCATTATATGACCAAGCAAAAGAATCTTTATATTGTTTCAGGACAACCAACAACTGGTCCCTGTCAATAGGTTCCAACCAAGCACTAATGTAAGTGGGTTGTTGTACTGAACCTTCCCCTAAGTTGACTTCTTCCAAGGGATCTTGCACTTGAGCACTCATTAATGATTCCCATTTGACTTCTTCTACATTCGAAGCAACCCTTTCATCTTGTTTTGCTCCTACTTTTTTTGGTTCAACATCCTTACTCTCTTCTTCATAGACAAAATCTGTCCATAAAGCCTCTTCTTCCTGTATTTCTTGGACTTTAGTTTCAATGTCCATTGCACAATACTTACCAAGAGCCCAAGGTCTAGCGTCTTGCTGCCACTGACTATAGCCAATCACCATGGCTTCTTTCTCTTCTTCCTGCACCTTCTGGACTATTGCCTTTATGTCCAATGTTGAAAATTTGATTAAAGCCAAAGGTTAGGCTACTTGACCTTGATCCTTTTGCCTATAACCAAGCATCATTGGCATCTTTGATGATGAACTCCTCATCAACCTTCTCTTGTACTAGATGCTTCAGGTGTCCCACTTCTTCATCACCTGTCACTTAGGATATTACATCAGACTTCCTCAGTACACTAAGTGGTATCACCCCTTCAGTGTATAGCTTGACTTCTGCAAAATCTGCACAGGCAAAAAAGGGCTATGGATCTGCATCAATCTCCTCTGTTTCCCCATTGCCTATTGCTATCATTATCTTCTGGTGCAAAGAAGAAGGCACACATTTGTTTGTATGGATCTAATTCCTACCAAGCAAAGCATTATATTTGGCATTGCTATCTATGACAAAATAATGTTGCCATACAATCTTTGGTTCCCACACTCAGGTTGATATGCAGAATGCCTTGAGCCATATGTTTATCTCTAGCAAAACCAGCAATGGTAGTGCTTGTTGGGATCAACACTACAACAAAATGCACCTTCGGTGACTAAAATTGGAGACTAAAAAAATTTAGTTGCCAAAAGTTGTGGAATTGGCGACTAAAAAAAAAATCAGTCACTAAAAATGCCAAAATTGGCTACAAAAAAGAATTTTAGTCGCTGTATATTGAGTTTTAGCTACTAAAACCGTTACTCGTCGAATGGAAAATAAAAAATTATTTTTTTATCTTTGGCGACCAAAAATTTGGTAATCAAAAGTTTATTTTTAGCGACAAAAAAGAAATTTAGTCGCCGTCTATTGAGTTTTGACTACTAAAATTATTTAGTAGCCGAATGAAAAATTTAAAAATTTTTTTTTACCTTTGGCGACCAAAATTTTGGTAGCCAAAAGTTTATTTTCAGCGACAAAAAAGAAATTTAGTCACTGTATATTGAGTTTTGGCTACTAAACTTATTTAGTAGTCGAATGAAAAATAAAAAATTATTTTTTGCCTTTGGCGACCAAAATTTTGGTAGTCAAAAGTTTATTTTCAGCGACAAAAAAGAATTTTAGTTGTCGTATATTGAGTTTTGGCTACTAAAACCATTTAGTCACCGAATGAAAAATAAAAAATTATTTTTTACATTTGGCGACTAAACTTTTGGTGGCCAAAAGTTTATTTTCAGCGACAAAAAAGAATTTTAGTCGCCAAAGAAATAAAATTTTCGGAGGGAGACATTTCAAATATTTTGGAGGGATTTATAAAATACTTTCAGCGACTAAAAAATTTTAGTCACCAATAACCATTTTGGGTTCGTTTGACAAGATGGTTTGTGGCTAAAATAATTACAAAAGACAAAATAAGCTATTTGAGTCACAGCAAACAAAATATCACATCCAACCCACAATCATTACACTCTTCTCTCACAAAAAAATTAAAAAAACTAAAAAATCCTTCCCAAACTAAACTTTTTAATCTAAATTAAAATAATCAAAAAAATCAAAAAGTAAAAAAGTTAACCCACTTTCCAAACCCACCCTTTATATATCTCACAAGTCACGCACTCACTCTTCTCTCTCATCCTCTCTTTCTCTACCCAATCCAAACCAAACCCACCTTTTCTCACCCGAATTTTCTCTCCTAAACACTTCATTTCAAATCACATCTTTGAATCTATCTGCTTCTATGATCTTCTGTATTCACATCTACACATACATACATCACATTGAGAAGCTAGTTTCCCATCAAAATTCTCAAGTATGAGAACCAAAGCAAGCAACCAAAACAGATTCATGCAATTCACACAGATCTGTGAGTGAGCCACACAGATTGCAGATCCACACCCCATCCCTATCTAAAACATTTCACGCCGCCGCCTCCTCCTCCTCTGCCGATCTTGGCAGATCCACCGCCACCGCCACGAGATCCAGAGGCTTCATCACTGAGAAGAACTCTGCTCCATTGATGCTCCGTCTTGCGTATGCTTTCTCTCTCTCTCTGTCTCTCTCTCTCTCTCTCTCTCTCTATATATATATATATAGCTGGCACTTGACTTGAGTACAATATGTATCTTAGCATATTACTGCGTCAGTACATGAGTTCAACTGCCTATGATATGAGCTGTTTGATCTCATGGATCAAAATCTTGCTATAGCAAGGTGTACATTGCATTGCATATTGATTAGTTGCTGCTTTAGTTTACCAGTGAATGATTTGTTCCTCTGTTTCCAGTCCTTTTTAAATTTTGAATAATATTTAATTGTAAATCTGAACACCCATTATTCATAGGTTACATCTGTTTGGATGTTAATCTCCTTGGTGGATTTTAATTGTTTTTTATTCTGCTATCTACCATTTGCAGCCAGCAGGTTGGAAGTTAAAAGAGGAGTACTTGCCTTCTGGTTGGCTCTGCCTGGTATGTTTTATGGCATATGTTTTAGATTTGGGTTCTTATGTGCTTAAGTAGTTGGAGATATAATGGATGGTTTGGTTAAAAGTTCTTTTTAGTTTGTCATTCAGGTTTGTGGTGCTTCTGATAAATAAGATTATTTTACTGGTTTTGCTTGGCATAAGCTAAATTGGCTAAATTGGATAATGAAAACAAAATAGGTTAATTTAGTTAATAAGATAAAATATTGCAAATAAATCATAATCATTTTACCTTCTTTCTTTTTTTTTTTTCACAACCATAAAATGAACTATAAACAACAAAAAAAAAAAAAATTCAAAATTGATTCTAAATAGAATTTTTTAAGTCATGTTAAAATAGCTAAAAAAATTAGACTAAAAAAATTTATCCCAAATGAATGTGTGTATGTGGGAATGAGGGGTTCTTATGAGTAATAAAGTATAAGTGTGAGTGAGTGAACCAAATTCTTTATTTGTAATTTTTTACAAATCAATATGTTAAGTTTTATCAGTGATTAATTTATTATTGAACATGTATACTTTTATTTAATTTATCAATAAGCATACACAATTACAACTTATATGTGGAGCAATGAATTAAAAATAAAGTGAGAACAATGTGTGTGGACATGAGGGAGAGTCAGTACTAGGAATGTAGAGGTTTTTTCTAGTGGTGACTAGCAGACGTGGTGCTAGATTTTGACTAACAACCAAAATGGAAACTAGACAACATATAAATTATTAAGAATAAAAATTTGTGGGAAACATGACTTTCTTGAGTCTATAACAACTTAGCTAATCCAAAGTAAAAATAAGAATTAAATGACCCACAACCAAACAAGGAGCCCTAAGAGGAAATTAAATAAAACACCCCATATTCTAAAAACTAATTCATTTTGAACAACTGTATTGAATAGCCTCATTTATTTTAATACTTTTAAAAATCAAATCATTTTTGTTTACCTCTTCATTCATTTGCAGGTGACAATAATGGACAAGAGTTGGATAATTAAATGTCTTATGTCTCTTCTTTATAATCAAATCTTGTATCTGTTCATCATAATTAAATGTCTTATTGTGTATGACATTTTGATTGGCTCTAGTTGCTAAGGATGGGATGCAAGAGAAGGACTGGTTGGCTGTAGTTGTTGTCCACAGTGATGCATGGTTACTTGCCGTGGCCTTTTATTTTGGTGCTAGATTTAGTTTTGATAAAGCAGACATGTGTTCTTTCTTCCCTCTATTATCCTGTGGTGCATTTGGAATTATAAGTTTCTAGTTTGCTAGAATATTGAAATGTGCTGTGATCCATCATATCATTATATGAAAAAGTAAGCCTAAATGAAAAGGCATGCGAGTGTGTGAAAATTATTAATAAAATTTAAATTAATTTTTATAAAGCATTTGAAGTACTTTTAACTCTACTATATGATATCCTTTTGACAGCCACATGTAATGGAAATCTAGGTGCAATTTGGTTCACGTGTTCATCTGAAAAAGAAAAAAAAAAATTAGGTGCAATTTAAATCTCCTTTTCTTTACCTGTTTGCTTGTTTGTTTGTTTTATGTCTATGAAATCTCGCAAGTGAAGTGGGATTTTGTTTTGAAGGAACATGCTTAATTATTATTATTATTATTATTTTTTTGTCTTCAATTAATTTTGTTGCTGTTTATTTATTTATTTATTTATTTTTAAATCCATGCTAATCTGTTAAATCAATTAGTGACTTCACTAATTTTCCCTCATTTAGTCTTGCTATATCAGTTATAATAAATATTGTGCAACTAACTCACAAACTGTTTAGTCATTTTTGATTACTTACCTCACTGGTTTTTGTTACAGATTGATGATGTTGGCATGGATACAGTAATGTTTTTGGGCTAGATTGATGATGTTTGCATGGGCTCAATTTACATTATATTTTTGTTTTATGGAAAACATGTACACCTGATCTGTTTTGTTATTGAGATTTTTTTTAAAATTTGGATTTTAATTGTTGGTTTGGATAATATATGTATTTGTTGGATTATACTATATATTTATGGATTCTTATTTTCTTTGATATGCATGGTTAATAGTTAAGTTTTGTATATGGTTGAAAATTGAATGTTACAAGTTGTGGAAAAATATTTTTGTTGAATGGTTAAGAATTGAATGAATGAAGATGAATAATTTTATGGATTTTTCTTAAGTGTGCCTTGCATATGGTATGCAAGGCACTTACACCCTTCTATTTTGCATTTACACATTTGTATGTATTGGGTTATATCAAAATATTTGAAAACTTACACATTGGTGACGTGCTAAGCAGGTCACTTTCCAGATAAATTAATAAAATAATATATTATATGACTAAAGGTGTAAATGGTCACAAAAAATGTATAAGTTTTCACAAAAGGGGTATATTTTCACGAAAGGCGTAAGGAATTTCAGAAAAAGGCGTAATTGATTTCTAAAAAGTTACACATTTTTCTGAAAACTTACGCCTTCTGTGAAATCATTTACACCTTTTATGAACACTTACTCCTTTTGTGAGTTGACTTACCAAAGGTGTAAACAAACGAAAACTTATACATTTTGTTTAAGCTTACACCTTTTCGTGAAAATACTTACACCATTTTTTGAAAAGTTACTCATTTTGTGTAAGAATTTTTGGCATAACATTTATACCTTCTCTTCGAACTTACACCTTTTGTGGAAGCCCAACTTAAAACTTTTTCGGAAGTCACTTATACCTTTTGTGAAAAAATAAATTCATCAAATTTACACCTTTTGCTTCAGCTTATACCTTTTCGTGGAAGTGCTTATATTTTTTTTGAAAAGTTACTCATTTTGTATAAGAATTTGGCATAACATTTATAGCTTTTGCTTCGAACTTAGACCTTTTGTGGAAGCCTAACTTAAAGCTTTTCGGAAGTCACTTATACCTTTTGTGAAAAAATAAATTCATCAAATTTACACCTTTTGCTTCAGCTTATACCTTTTCGTGGAAGTGCTTATATTTTTTTTGAAAAGTTACTCCTTTTGTGTAAGAATTTTTGGCATAAGATTTATATCTTTTCTTCGAACTTACACCGTTTGTGAAAGGCCAACTTAAACCCTTTTCGGAAGTCACTTATACCTTTTGTGAAAAAATAAATTCATCAAATGTACACCTTTTGCATCGGCTTATACCTTTTCATGAAACTGCTTATATTTTTCTTGAAAAGTTACTCCTTTATGAAATAATTTTTCTCATAAGATTTATACTTTTTCTTCAAACTTACACCTTCTGTGAAAGAGTATATAAGCCCAAAAGTATAAATGTTATGCCAAAAACTCTTACACAAAAGGAGTAACTTTTCGAAAAATATATAAGCACTTCCACGAAAGGTGTAAGCTTAACCAAAAGGTGTATATTTGATGAATTTATCTTCTCACAAAAGGTATAAGTGACTTCCGAAAAGGGTTTAAGTTGGCCTTTCACAAACGGTGTAAGTTCGAAGAAAAGATATAAATCTTATGCCAAAAATTCTTACACAGAAGGAGTAACTTTTCGAAAAATATATAAGCACTTCCACGAAAGGTGTAAGCTTAACCAAAAGGTGTATATTTGATGAATTTATCTTCTCACAAAAGGTATAAGGGACTTCCGAAAAAGGTTTAAGTTGGCCTTTCACAAACGGTGTAAGTTCGAAGAAAAGATATAAATCTTATGCCAAAAATTCTTACACAGAAGGAGTAACTTTTCGAAAAATATATAAGCACTTCCACGAAAGGTATAAGCTTAAGCAAAAGGTGTAAATTTGATGAATTTATTTTTTCACAAAAGGTATAACTGACTTGCGAAAAAGCTTTAAGTTGGGCATCCACAAAGGTGTAAGTTCGAAGAAAAGCTATAAAAGTTATGCCAAATATTTTTACAGAAAAGGAGTAACTTTTTAAAATAAATATATGCACTTCCACGAAAAGGTATAAGTGACTTGCGAAAAAGGTTTAAGTTGGCCTTCCACAAACGGTGTAAGTTCGAACAAAAGGTATAAAAGTTATGCCAAAAATTGTTACACAAAAGGAGTAACTTTTCAAAAAAAATATAAGCACTTCCACGAGAGGGTCAAAATGTGTAAATTTGATGAATTTATCTTTTCACAAAAGGTATAAGTGACTTCCGAAAAACCTCTAATCAAATCATATAGCTATCGATATCCAATTAAAGTGATTTTTTACAAGCATATAATACTCAACGATTTGTACATATTAAACGGTTCGGATTATCAAAATGAAACCCTTAGTAGCCCCACAGACCGACTATCACTGTCCAAAAGTTATTTGTCCCGAAGGAGGCAATTATTTCTGCGGAGACATTGGGGGAGCCGCAGAGATCCGTGCGGTCGATCATCTTTCTTCCACTATATATCTTGTTTATACAATTTTTTATTACACATTTTTTTCATAAAAAGTCAAAAAATTAAATTAAATATTTATATTTTTTTTCTCAACTTTTTAGTCTAAAAATATAAAAAGTGCACTTATTTAAGACACCCCAAATAATCTCATTTGTCAATAGGCTATTTTAGCAAAAAGAAATTTTTTGAAAAGTTACTCCTTTTGTGTAACAATTTTTGGCATAACTTTTATACCTTTTGTTCGAACTTACACCGTTTGTGGAAGGCCAACTTAAAGCTTTGTCTGAAGTCACTTATACCTTTTGTGAAAAGATAAATTCATCAAATTTACACCTTTTGCTTAAGCTTATACCTTTTCGTGGAACTGCTTATCTTTTTTTTGAAAAGTTACTCCTTTTGTGTAACAATTTTTGGCATAACTTTTATACCTTTTGTTCGAACTTACACCGTTTGTGGAAGGCCAACTTAAAGCTTTGTCTGAAGTCACTTATACCTTTTGTGAAAAGATAAATTCATCAAATTTACACCTTTTGCTTAAGCTTATACCTTTTCGTGGAACTGCTTATCTTTTTTTTGAAAAGTTACTCCTTTTGTGTAACAATTTTTGGCATAACTTTTATACCTTTTGTTCGAACTTACACCGTTTGTGGAAGGCCAACTTAAACCTTTTTCGGAAGTCAATTATACCTTTTTGTGAAAAGATAAATTCATCAAATTTACACCTTTTGCTTAGGCTTATACCTTTTCGTGGAACTGCTTATCTTTTTTTTGAAAAGTTACTCCTTTTGTGTAAGAATTTTTGGCATAAAGTTTATACTTTTGTGGTTATATACTCTTTCACAAAAGGTGTAAGTTCCAAGAAAAGGTATAAATGTTATGCCAAAAGTTCTTACACCAAATGAGTAACTTTTCAAAAATTGTGTAAGTATTTTCAGTAAAAAGTGTAAGCTTAATCAAAAGGTGCAAAATTAATGATTTTTTTTTTTTCACAAAAGGTATAAGTGACTTTCGAAATAGGTTTAAGTTGGCCTTTCACAAAAGGTGTAAGTTCGAAGAAAAAGTATAAATCTCATGCCAACAATTCTTACACAAAAGCAGTAACTTTTCAAAAATGGTGTAAACATTTTCACGAAAAGTATGAAGGAGTAACATTTCAAAGCGTTGATAACGAGAAAAGGAGTAACAAAGGGTTCATTTCAAAATGTTCGTAAACACAGAAGGAGTAACATATGTTCATCTGAAAGTAGTAAACACAGAAGGAGTAACATTTCGAAGTGTTCATAAACCCAATTGAGACAACCACTGAACAAATCAAAGGGTCGTGACCCCCGCTGACCACCCAAGCGTCGGTGGGCTCCGGTGCTCACAGCCTTCTGAGATCGGCACCTCCACCGCAAATCAAAGGTTTTTTGAAAGATTGGCTATCGATCTTGGTCTCTCTGTGTCGATGTCGGTCTCTCTCTGTCGATCCCTGTTTATCTCGGTCTGTCTCCAGCGATCTTGGTCTGTCTGTGTCCATGTGGGTCTCTTCTCTGTCGATCTCTGTCGATTTCGGTCCCTCTGTCGATCAGTGTCCGTCTAGGTCTCTATGTCTGTTGATCTCAGTCTATCTCTCTCTCTCTCTCTCTCTCTCTCTCTCTCTCTTTCTCTGTCTGTCTGTCCGTTGCTCTATATTAAAAACGGTTCTGTTTTACATTGACA